AAGGTTTTCATTATCTCCTGGAGGAGCTGTTCACTCGATAGTGCAGCGTAGTTCTGTTGCTGCTTTTTATATAGGTCCATGTTATCGAGTGACCTTCTTTTGGTGTCTGGTCTTTTGATAAAAGTCCTAGCGGCGTCCTGCGCTGCTGCTGTTGTGGTAGCAGGGCTAGGAGTGATGGGCTTTTTGGCAGCGCCAGAGGTCGTGGGTGTGCGGTACATATTATTTATGTGAGTGTGTATGAGTGCGGTGTGTAGTGTAGGTTATTGTAAGTGGATCGGGGAAAGTTGTCCCTTTATAAAATGTTTTTTAGACCCTGTAAAGGGGGGTCTGTGTCAAGTATAGAATAAAAACTAATCAATACTATATATATGTTAATAAAACTAGCCTATCTTATTTTAATGAGGGAGTGTCCAGCTCTTTTAAGTTATTTTTAACCTTTACTAATGTAAAGAGGCTTGAGCTAGGGCGTATAAGCCTTCAGGACCCGATTCCCACCAAAATTTAAATCAAAAAAAAATTTAAAATTAAAAAATAAAAATTTTTTTTTGACTCTACCTAGAGTCAATCCAAGTGATTACAGTGATAGATCTCTCTGAGCCCTCTCGTTTGAACCCAAACACGACTGTCCCAGCCTAAGGGGTTCCGCAGGAACAGCAGTCCAAATTTCCGGCCGCCGATCCAAGATGGCCACCAGAATCGGGTAACAAGCTGTTTCTCCGCAACCACTCGTCCAAAACCTGCCGTGCTTGGGGTCTCCCAACTGGGCTCGACGAGATCTACAACTTAATGAGGGTTTAAACCCTATGGCACCAAAACGCTTGAAAAGTGAGGCGGGTGGAGACCGGTCCTCTGAACTCCACCAAGAAAACCGCAACTCGCTACGACTCTTAGATCTTAAGTTACGTCAATTTTAAATTTGTCAAAATGGCCGCCAATTCAGACCACTATCCGTTATTTCAGGTGTCTTTCAACCGATTTCGGCCGTGTTTGGGCTCATTTAAAAGGTCTCGGTGTTAAAATAATAGATAAATAAATATTTTGGCGTTTGAAGCCCCCTTTGAATTAATTTTTAACAAAAATTTTGAAAAATTTTACAAAATTTTGATTTTTATGGCAAATTTGAGTTTTAAAATTCTACAAAAAATTATGTACAATACAAGAGGTATTCTTAATTTAGATATATATTTTTATATCTACATAGAAACACGTTAAAATAGGGTAGCACGTGGTCAACAAATTAATTTAAAAAATTCTAATTAAAAAACTACTAACAATAAAAATCTGAAAATTTTTATGTACCTTTCTAATGGTAACCTAAACACTATTTAAGTATAAAACCTAGGGGTCTTCGCTTTAAATTTTAAAATATAAAATTTTGAAAATTTCACTAAATTTAAAAGTTCAATTATTCCGCAGCCACTTAACTTATTAAAATTCCGAAAGTTGCTCCCGGCTCCGCTCCACGCTGGCTACCAGATTGCGACTTCAAAGATAGCCGCACGATTCTCCTTCTCGAAACACGTGCCGACGTGGTACATGTTTTTTTGGTTTTTTCTCCGAGACTGTGGCTCAGAAAATTTCCAAATTTTTAACACATGTAGGGGCCGTGTGTAGCTTCAAGGCCACACTTTAAAAAACTAGGGTTACAGCGCTTAAACACTCAGCGTTTCACTTTTAAAATTTGAAATTTTCCAAATTTCACTTTTTTTCACTGTAACTTTTTCATCTTCACTCCGATTTAAAAACAGTTTATACGACTATAAGCCGCAAGTTAAGCCGCGTCTTTTCACCCGCGTCAAAAATCGGACGTAAAAAACCTATTTAAACGAATTTTTAAGCGCGGAGAAACTCAGAAACGTGGCGTTCGGGACGGCAGTTGGCACCGGACTGGGTTAGGTTAGGTTAGGTTAGGTTAGGTTCCCGTGCGGAGTTGCCAGTCCTCCCATCGGGCGCGTCCCCAGGTGGCGGATAGGGGGAATGCCACTCAGATATGAGTGGTAGCGGGAAACCGTCGCGGACCAAAACTGGCTGGGTTTGGGGCGTACCTCTGGTTCCGAATGGAATCAAGTACCTGCTAGTTGCTTCCCGTATCCTCTCCACTGAGAGGAACAGAGGATGTGACATGCGCGGTGAGATGCCAGGTGCACTCGGCTTTTGCCGACGCCGGGCAACCCGTCATCGCGGGAATAGAATGGGCTCAGAGTTCCCTCACCCGGTCTCTGGGCAGGCATGGGAAGAACCCGTATCGACTCTGCCACTGTTCGAACCTCGGAATCCCTTTGGCGTGTCGTGGATCATGTCTCGCGGCGCTCCACCATAGACGCTATTACGCGCGTGAGGGCCCTGGCGGAGGAGACAGTATCCCGGGGTGGGGTGGTGCTGGCGGTGTCATTAGACATCTCCAACGCCTTCAACACCCTACCCTGGAGTTGTATTCGGGAGGCGCTTAATTACCATCGCGTGCCTCCCTACCTCCGCCGCACAATAGGGGCCTACCTTGAGGAGAGATGCGTCACGTATTGGGGACGTGACAGCGCTGGTCGACGCGTCATGTCGTGCGGTGTTCCGCAGGGATCGGTCTTGGGACCGCTCCTGTGGAACATCGGCTACGACTGGGTGCTGAGAGGTGAGCTCCCGTCGGGCGCTGACTTGACCTGTTATGCGGACGACACGCTCGTCACTGCCCGGGGGAGCTCGCACAGGGAAGCAGCGTTGGTTGCCACGGCTGCGGTTTCACAAGTGGTGAACCGCATCCGGTGCCTGGGCCTGGAGGTGGCCCTAACAAGTCAGAGGCCATGGTGTTTCATGGCCTTCGACGCGCGCCGCCACCGGGATCGCACATCGTGGTCGGCGGGGCCCGGATAGCTGTCGAGTCCACCATGAAGTACCTGGGATTGGTGCTCGACAGCCGATGGGAATTTGGGCCCCACTTCCGGCGGCTGGCGCCCAAGCTGATGCGTGCAGCTGGCGCACTTTCAACGCTGCTTCCCAACTTGGGGGGCCCGAGCGCTGCCTGTAGGCGGTTGTACGTGGGAATCGTGCGGTCCATGGCCCTGTATGGGGCCCCTGTATGGGCGATGGACATGACGGCCAGCACTCTCGCCATTCTGCGCAAACCGCAGAGAGCGATGGCCGTCAGAGTCACCCGCGGGTATCGCACGATTTCCTACGAGGCGGCTTGCGTCCTGGCCGGATCCCCGCCCTGGGACCTAGAGGCAAAAGTACTCGCGTCACTATATCGATGGCGCGAGGAAGAGCGGGGACGGGGCTCGAGGCCGGTGCAGCGACAGATCGCGCTGCGCCGAGAGGAGCTCCGTCAGGTCTTGGTGGCGGAATGGCGGCAAAGGCTTCTGCGCCCTACCGCCGGCCTCGCTATCGTTGAGGCGATCCGGCCAGTACTCGACGACTGGCTCGGGAGAAGGCACGGCTCCCTGTCGTTTAGGGTGACGCAGGTGCTGTCGGGGCACGGCTGCTTTGGCAAGTACCTGTGCCGCATAGACAGGGAGCCGGACGCTCGGTGCCACCACTGCGTCCATTGCGGGGAGGACACGGTGCAACACACGCTCGCCGAGTGTGTAGCTTGGGAAGAGCAGCGCCGTGTCCTCACAAATGTAGTAGGAGGCGATTTGTCGCTGTCGGCCTTGGTGCGGAGTATGGTCGGTAGCGCAGAATCGTGGGATGCAGTGGTGTCCTTCTGTGAGGACGTGATGTCGCAGAAGGAAACTGCGGAACGGGAGAGGGAGATCTCGACTCCCTTCCCTGGCCGCAGAAGGCGCACCGGGCGCAGGAGAAGGGCGGACAACGCCCTTTTCCAGCCCCCATGAATAAGTCCAGGGGCGAGGGACTAGGGGAAGCCCCCGCCCCCCTATTCGATGGACCCGAGGCGGAGGCACGCGTGGGTGTCGGCGCGTGCCTCTGAGGTGATACAGGGGGGTAGTTGAACACCTCACTACCCCGTGCAGGAGACGAGGCCCGTACAGACCGGGCCAGCACTAGTGTGGGGCTGCGGAAGAATTTGGATTCCCGCGGCCCCGCGCGTGCACGTGCGAGGAGACACCGGGGTGGTTTTAGCCGGTAAGAGTCCGGCACACCCCTCCGCCTGTCCCCAGGCAGAGGCAGTCCATGAGGATTTCCCCCCCGTAAAGAAAAAAAAAAAAAAAAAGGTTAGGTTAGGTTAGGTTAGGTTAGGTTAGGTTAGGTTAGGTTAGGTTAGGTTAGGTTAGGTTAGGTTAGGTTAGGTTAGGTTAGGTTAGGTTAGGTTAGGTTAGGTTAGGTTAGGTTAGGTTAGGTTAGGTTAGGTTAGGTTAGGTTAGGTTAGGTTAGGTTAGGTTAGGTTAGGTTAGGTTAGGTTAGGTTAGGTTAGGTTAGGTTAGGTTAGGTTAGGTTAGGTTAGGTTAGGTTAGGTTAGGTTAGGTTAGGTTAGGTTAGGTTAGGTTAGGTTAGGTTAGGTTAGGTTAGGTTAGGTTAGGTTAGGTTAGGTTAGGTTAGGTTAGGTTAGGTTAGGTTAGGTTAGGTTAGGTTAGGTTAGGTTAGGTTAGGTTAGGTTAGGTTAGGTTAGGTTAGGTTAGGTTAGGTTAGGTTAGGTTAGGTTAGGTTAGGTTAGGTTAGGTTAGGTTAGGTTAGGTTAGGTTAGGTTAGGTTAGGTTAGGTTAGGTTAGGTTAGGTTAGGTTAGGTTAGGTTAGGTTAGGTTAGGTTAGGTTAGGTTAGGTTAGGTTAGGTTAGGTTAGGTTAGGTTAGGTTAGGTTAGGTTAGGTTAGGTTAGGTTAGGTTAGGTTAGGTTAGGTTAGGTTAGGTTAGGTTAGGTTAGGTTAGGTTAGGTTAGGTTAGGTTAGGTTAGGTTAGGTTAGGTTTTTTTTTTTCCCACAAATATCATCACTTTTGTGGGAGTTGGCAATGTTTTTCATTTGCCGTTCTGCTATTTGATACAGAACATTTGTGCGCTGTGGGAATTCTTGGAGATGTTTTATAAATATTTATTTTACATGTTTTGAGTTCAAAATTATTCTGTTCCGTTAAATTTCTTGAGACTTTTTATTATACTATTAATATGGTGTAGAAACGTTTCAAATGTGCTTTCCTTTTTAATAATTTCTTCAATGGAGAAGGGTTGTACTTTAAAATTGGCGCAAGTTATCGTATGGGTTAGACGTGTAGCTTGGAATTTTGGACAATCATTAAGTAAATGGAAAATTGACTGTACTGCAGTGTCGTCGCAAGGGCATGTGTTATTTTCCACTATTTTAATTCTATGAAGGTACTCTTTGTGGTAGCCGTGACCTGTAAGAATTTGTGTTAGTGTGAATGAGTGCTTGGTGACTTGGTATAATTCTTGTATGTGTGTAAGTGTAGGGAGCCATTTTCTGGTTATTTCACCTTTCACGTTATCTTGGTAAAATTGTTCGGAAGCTACTTTACTATCTTGTTGAGCAAGTTTTCTTACGAAGCTAATTGGAAATTTTATGAGAATAGGGACGTTATGGCTTGTGGCTGCAGCTTTGGCTGCCAGGTCAGCAGCTTCGTTACCAGCTATACCTGTGTGGGCTTTGACCCAAATGAAATTAACTGATAAGCTGTGGTTGTCTAGCATTCTGTGGATGTTGGTAACTATTTGGTTTGTACTATTGGGGTTACCGATTTCTTGTAGTCCAGATTTGCTGTCAGTCAGAATAGCTGCATTCGGAATGTGTTTATCTGCAAGCCACACACAAGCTTGTTCTATGGCTTTCAACTCAGCTTGAAACACCGAGCAAGAACTATGGAGTTTTAGTTTTCTAGTTATAATTTTACCATTGGGGCAATATACAACAAAAGCTCCCCCAACCTTTTCGTCGTGTCTACTACCATCTGTGTAGATGTGATGAGTGTTTTCGAGGAGAATCTGATTGACTTCTTGAGCGTTATTGGCTTCTTGGTAATGGATAATTTTGCGACGAGATGGATGTAATCGTTCTTCTGGTTTCGATGGTGTGTCTAAACTAATGTCTGTTGGAAGATATTTGCTTGTGCCTGTTAGTTTCGTTGTTTCGATGATTGCCAGTTCATTAATTTTAATGTGTATAGGAGTCAGCCTTGCCAGTGCTATTGCATTGATGGTATTTACGGTTCTAAAACCTTTAATTATTTTTATAGCAAAACCACGTTGCAGGGATAGCAGCTTGTCTCTTACATGTTTATATTTTAATGCCGAGTGCCATATGCTGGGCGCGTAACAGATAATTGGTTCAATAACATTTTTATATATAATCTCAATATTTTCGGATTGTATTCCCCAAGTAGGTCGGATATATTTTAATAATTTGTTATATATACTTCTTGTTTTGACCAATATATGATGAACATGTTGAATGAATTTTAGTTTTTTATCTATAATGATGCCTAGAATTTTTATATAATTTTCCAATTTGATGGGAGTGCCAGATACTGATATTTTTATTTTCTCAGCTTTACCTGTGAAGGCAATTGCTTGGGTTTTCTGAGGCCCAAATTTTAATTTGACTGACTCTCCCCAAATGGTGATTATATGGAGTGCCTTATTAATTATTTCCTGTAACTTTAAGGGGTCTTTGTCGTGAGCAATGAGCGTAACGTCATCAGCAAAGGCTTGAATATGACATCCTTCGGGCAAGTCCTTTTCAAGTAATTCATCCAAGATCAGGTTCCAAAATGTCGGTCCGCAAACTGAACCTTGGATGCATCCTCTACTCATGGCTTTGTTGGCACTGCTGCTTGAGAAATTTATGCTAACTGTTCGCTCGCTGAGGTAGTTTGTTATTAGTTTGTATATATTCTTGGGGCAATTAATTATGTGGAGTCTACGCAAAATAGCGGGCCACCAGGCATTGTCAAATGCCGCCTGAATATCCAAAGAGACAGCGGCAACTTGATCTCCCTTGATTTTACAATTTCTAACAAATGTAATCATATTATTAAGTGCTTCTGTCGTTGACCTTTGTTCCTTGAACCCATATTGTTTACTATTGAATTTGTTGTTAGTGTAAATAAAATGATTTAGTCGTTTGATGACCAACTTTTCAAGGAGTTTACCAAAAACATTAAGCAGTCCGATGGGGCGATAAGCTGAGATTTCAGTATAGTCAAGTTTGTTGGGCTTAGGAATAATAATTACTTGCGCATGTTTCCACTGTCTAGAGAATATTGATAAAGCTAGGCATCTATTCATGATATTCGTTATTAGTTCTGGGAATGTTTGAGTGAAACAGAAGCATATGTCGGAGTTGTAAGGTGATCTGGTCCAGGTGATTTTCGAGGGTTCATATCCTTGAGGTTATGGAGGACTTCATCAATAGTAAATGGAGGATCATCATTTGTATTCGGTGGAAATTTTATGGTTTGTCGGGTGACGGTTTGGGAACTATATGTGTCAATGGTGTCCTCTGGATAAAATTTTTGAAGAAATATATGGGCTGTTTCTTCAGAAGAAGTAGTATATTTGTTTGGTGCTATTTTGAGGGTGGAAGGTGGTAGGGTTGGGATTGAATTCTTCAGCAATCTATTTGTAACTGACCACACATCTTCCTTACCTTGTTTGTTGCAGAATTCACGGAAGTTTTCAGTTGAGGCCTTTCTGATTGCTTCGGCGTATTCCTTTCGGAGTTGGGTCTTGTTTGTAATTGCTTCGTTCATTGGAAGACGTTTTCGACTAAGTTTTTGAAGCAGGTGATGGTTGTCAAGAACTTTTCTTTTTAATTTTTCTAAGTCTTCGGTCCACCAAGAAGGGCGCTCAGGACGAATAGAAGAGTGGGGAAGATACTTTTTACAAATTTTGTGAATAAACGCGGTTATTTCATCAATAAAGTGTAGTAAGTTATTTGGATCTAAGGATAGGATGTCAATTTTGTTAAGTTGGGTCAGTTCAATTTCTCTGGAAAAGGCTTCGCTTAGTTTTTCCCATTGCTTAAAATTATTAGTATTATATTGGTAAGTCGATTTTTTCTTATTCTGACGGATATGATTTTTATTAAGGAAATATTCAAATTTGATACCATGGTGATCAGAGGAGGGACATATAGAATTATCTATTTGCCAATTAATAATATGATTCGAGATTGAGGATGAAGTTATGGTGAGATCAACGATGGAACCACGTAGAATTCCATCCGCTGTAGTTTCATATGTATGATCTGTGCCAGTATTATTGATGGTAAGATTGTGAGGAATAATAATATCAACTATTTCTTTACCTCTTTTATTCGCTGTGGGAGATCCCCAAAGTTGGTGCCAGCCATTTAGGTCTCCCGCGATAATATGAATGGCGTCTCCTGTTTCAATTATAAATTGTTCCAAGTGGTTCAATGTTTCATTTTCATCGTCTTTGGGCTCTACGTAAATGCTAGTTAGAAATATTCTTTTCCCAGAAGTGATGAGCTGTACTATACATAAATTTGGCGTTGAATATTTTGAAATCCCGAGGCAGCTGCCAAGACCTTCTTTAATCAGAATGCTAGCCTTTACATGACGGTTATGAGGAAATTGGTATGTTGTGTAGCCGGGTGTTTTGTTCATAATTGTATTATTTCCGATATATGGTTCATTTATAAAGACTACTTGTACACTATTTGAGCGACAATATGCTAATAATTCTTGTTGGGCATTATATCCTCGGGCCAAATTGCATTGGATGAATCTAATGCCATTATTAGACGTTTTATTGCAATTATTATTGAGATGTATTTTATTGCTCTGTTCAGATATGTTACTCTTTCTCTGATACTTATTCATTTGGTGATTAGTTTGTAAGTCCATAATCAGTAGATTCCTCTAATTTCTTTTTAATAGAGATGATTCTAGGGCACAGTTTTACATTTGTTGCATTATGTCTAATGTCGGCATTGGCGTTGGTCTTCAAATTATGTTTGTGGCAGTTGTAGCACTTTCGTTTTTCGTCAGAGGTTCTGTTTGGGCAGTCCATAATATTGTGGTCTTCTGAGGCACAAAACGCGCATGGGTGAATTGTTATGGCACATTTCGTTTTTGTATGTCCAAATTGTAAACACAGATGGCATTGAACAAATCTCGAGAAAGGCCCGACAAACACTCGTTGATGATTAATGGCTACTCGTCCGTATGTGGTAATAGTTGTGTAGTATTTAGGTGTCACTTCCAAAACTGCATTGTATAAAGCGTTATTCTTATTTGAAGTAAGGAAACAAAGACGTAATGCGTCCTCAGGGATTTGTTTTTTTTTTTGTTTTTTTTTTGAGTTCTTTTTTGGCTGTCACGATTGTTTTGTAATGGCTTCCTCGCATTGCTTGTAGTTTTCAAACTCTACGCGAATTTTCCCATTTGATATTGTTTGCATTTTAACAGGTGCATATTTTTCTTTCTTAAATGAAATGTTCTTTTTCCAGGTAGCGAGAATGTCGGAAGATTTTGCTGTAGGGTTTGTAGATTTGATAACAATTGCTGGTTTTTTTGGGGCAATAGATGCCACTTCCGCGTATGTAGGGCCAGGCGCATTGGAAGTGGGAGTTAGCACTTCTTTAAGCTTTTTGATTTCCTCTCTAACGCTGGTTAAAATATCATTTTTCAAAGACTGTTCCTCGACATGTGAAGCTTTCGCTGATAGTACAGTGGAAAGGCTGTTTGAGGCTCTTCGGATTTCTTCAGCTGCCAGATTTATAAGGCGCTTGTTAACAGCTGTGACGCTTTTTCCCTCGTTTACCGCGTTAGAGATACATGTGGTCAACTGATTGATAACTTCTATGTATGTGTCAAGATTTTTTATATTACTAACGTCGCAAGGAAGTCGTGGTATGTCTTTATCTAATGGAGCCATGTTAAGGGGAAAAAATGAGGATCAAATAATACTTTTATACAATATAATAATACAAGTCTACTTAGGGAGGTAAAACCGGGAGGGTGGGTGGTCTATTTTTGTCGAAGCTAGGTGTTTTTACTCACAGGTGCAAGAAATACAAAAATCAATATAAATAAATAAATAAAAAAATCGATATAAATAAAAAATCGATATAAAAAAAAATCGATATAGGATTCCTACAAGTCTACTTAAATAGGAAAAACAGGGAGGGTGGGGGGGCGATTTTTTCCAGTTCTATATGTTTTATAAAGCAAATAAGAGTGCAGATGGTAGTTTCTACACTAGACGGACCTAATAAAAGCAAAAAAGAGCGAAATAAATGAAGATTTGAAAAATTTTAAAAATTTTAGGAAATTACGAGTATAGGAAAACGAATTTTGTGGAAATAAATATTTTAGCGACAGAAATTTACTATAAAAACTATAGATAAATACGGGGGCCGGTTAAATACACTATTTAAAAAGAAAATTTAAACGGAAAAGGCCACTTTTCAGCCGAGTTATGGATGAATACGTGTTTTTATTAATGAATTTACGTAATTAAGAGACGGAAAATATGAAAATTATATATATAACTTTAGGAATTAACCAAGAAAACTATATAGGATTACGGGGGGGCAGTTAGTTACACTATTTAAATAAAAAATTTAAAAGGAAAAGGCCAATTTTCAGCCGTGCTATAGATGAATACGTGTTTTTATTGATGAATTTAAGAAAGAAATAGACTGAAAATATGAAAATTATATATATAACTTTAGGAATTAACAAGAACTATATAGGATTCGGGGGGCAGTTAGTTACACTATTTAAATAGAAAATTTAAAAGGAAAAGGCCAATTTTCAGCCGTGCTATGATGAATACGTGTTTTTATTGATGAATTTAAGAAAGTATAGACTGAAAATATGAAAATAAAATATATAACGTTACGAATTTACTGAGAAAACTATAAGGAAATGTGGGGAGCAATTAACTACACAATTTAAAAAAGATTTGAACGAAAAATACCAATTTTTAGAAAAGTTATTAGCGAATTTATAGTTGAATTTATGTGATTGTATTGGTTGACCACTATACCTCGGTTTAGGTATATAGTGATTTTTTCCAGTTCTATATGTTTTATAAAGCAAATAAGAGTGCAGATGGTAGTTTCTACACTAGACGGACCTAATAAAAGCAAAAAGAGCGAAATAAATGAAGATTTGAAAAATTTTAAAAATTTTAGGAAATTACGAGTATAGGAAAACGAATTTTGTGGAAATAAATATTTTAGCGACAGAAATTTACTATAAAAACTATAGATAAATACGGGGGCCGGTTAAATACACTATATAAAAAGAAAATTTAAACGGAAAAGGCCACTTTTCAGCCGAGTTATGGATGAATACGTGTTTTTATTAATGAATTTACGTAATTAAGAGACGGAAAATATGAAAATTATATATATAACTTTAGGAATTAACCAAGAAAACTATATAGGATTACGGGGGGCAGTTAGTTACACTATTTAAATAGAAAATTTAAAAGGAAAAGGCCAATTTTCAGCCGTGCTATAGATGAATACGTGTTTTTATTGATGAATTTAAGAAAGAAATAGACTGAAAATATGAAAATTATATATATAACTTTAGGAATTAACCAAGAAAACTATATGGATTACGGGGGGCAGTTAGTTACACTATTTAAATAAAAAATTTAAAAGGAAAAGGCCAATTTTCAGCCGTGCTATAGATGAATACGTGTTTTTATTGATGAATTTAAGAAAGTATAGACTGAAAATATGAAAATAAAATATATAACGTTACGAATTTACTGAGAAAACTATAAGGAAATGTGGGGAGCAATTAACTACACAATTTAAAAAAAGATTTGAACGAAAAATACCAATTTTTAGAAAAGTTATTAGCGAATTTATAGTTGAATTTATGTGATTGTATTGGTTGACCACTATACCTCGGTTTAGGTATATAGTGATTTTTTCCAGTTCTATATGTTTTATAAAGCAAATAAGAGTGCAGATGGTAGTTTCTACACTAGACGGACCTAATAAAAGCAAAAAGAGCGAAATAAATGGAGATTTGAAAAATTTTAAAAATTTTAGGAAATTACGAGTATAGGAAAACGAATTTTGTGGAAATAAATATTTTAGCGACAGAAATTTACTATAAAAACTATAGATAAATACGGGGGCCGGTTAAATACACTATATAAAAAGAAAATTTAAACGGAAAAGGCCACTTTTCAGCCGAGTTATGGATGAATACGTGTTTTTATTAATGAATTTACGTAATTAAGAGACGGAAAATATGAAAATTATATATATAACTTTAGGAATTAACCAAGAAAACTATATAGGATTACGGGGGGGCAGTTAGTTACACTATTTAAATAGAAAATTTAAAAGGAAAAGGCCAATTTTCAGCCGTGCTATAGATGAATACGTGTTTTTATTGATGAATTTAAGAAAGAAATAGACTGAAAATATGAAAATTATATATATAACTTTAGGAATTAACCGAGAAAACTATATTGTATTACGGGGGGCAGTTAGTTACACTATTTAAATAGAAAATTTAAAAGGAAAAGGCCAATTTTCAGCCGTGCTATAGATGAATACGTGTTTTTATTGATGAATTTAAGAAAGTATAGACTGAAAATATGAAAATAAAATATATAACGTTACGAATTTACTGAGAAAACTATAAGGAAATGTGGGGAGCAATTAACTACACAATTTAAAAAAAGATTTGAACGAAAAATACCAATTTTTAGAAAAGTTATTAGCGAATTTATAGTTGAATTTATGTGATTGTATTGGTTGACCACTATACCTCGGTTTAGGTATATAGTGATTTTTTCCAGTTCTATATGTTTTATAAAGCAAATAAGAGTGCAGATGGTAGTTTCTACACTAGACGGACCTAATAAAAGCAAAAAGAGCGAAATAAATGAAGATTTGAAAAATTTTAAAAATTTTAGGAAATTACGAGTATAGGAAAACGAATTTTGTGGAAATAAATATTTTAGCGACAGAAATTTACTATAAAAACTATAGATAAATACGGGGGCCGGTTAAATACACTATATAAAGAGAAAATTTAAACGGAAAAGGCCACTTTTCAGCCGAGTTATGGATGAATACGTGTTTTTATTAATGAATTTACGTAATTAAGAGACGGAAAATATGAAAATTATATATATAACTTTAGGAATTAACCAAGAAAACTATATAGGATTACGGGGGGGCAGTTAGTTACACTATTTAAATAAAAAATTTAAAAGGAAAAGGCCAATTTTCAGCCGTGCTATAGATGAATACGTGTTTTTATTGATGAATTTAAGAAAGAAATAGACTGAAAATATGAAAATTATATATATAACTTTAGTAATTAACCAATAAAACTATATATGATTACGGGGGGCAGTTAGTTACACTATTTAAATAGAAAATTTAAAAGGAAAAGGCCAATTTTCAGCCGTGCTATAGATGAATACGTGTTTTTATTGATGAATTTAAGAAAGTATAGACTGAAAATATGAAAATAAAATATATAACGTTAGGAATTTACCGAGAAAACTATAAGGAAATGTGGGGGGCAATTAGCTACACTATTTAAAAAAGATTTGAAAGAAAAATACCAATTTTTAGAAAAGTTATTAGCGAATTTATAGTTCGGTTAGGTTAGGTTAGGTTAGGTTAGGTTAGGTTAGGTTAGGTTAGGTTAGGTTAGGTTAGGTTAGGTTAGGTTAGGTTAGGTTAGGTTAGGTTAGGTTAGGTTAGGTTAGGTTAGGTTTTTTTTTTTTTTTTTTTTTTTAATTTTACTTTTCATACTACTACTTTCCTGCAGTACCCTTCTTTCTAGATGTATATTACTGTTTAGTTTTGTACCAAGTTTTTTTTTTTTTTTTTTTTTTTTTTTTTTTTTTGGTAGCCGTACCGCTTATAACTGTTTTTTTTTTCTTTATTACACTATTTATTTATTGACTATTACTATACTACTTATTATACTATATTACTTATTTAACTGACTGATATTACTTAATACTTCTTTCTATTACAAAACTCGTTCATTGCACTATTTAG